CTCAAAGCACAGACACTGCTGCTCAGCAGAGCCCATCTGACCATGCTGGAGGTCTTTCTGCTTGAAGCCCAGGATCTGCTCAGTATGCACCTTAAGGAGGCCTGTCTGCATAAATTCTGAACTTCTGCAACAGTGTGGAAAAAGCCAGTTGTCAGATAAAGCCAATAAAACTAGCACCTCTGTAGTCAAATGGATAATTCTTGGTTTCACCAGTACCAACACAAGCTTTGCCACAAGAGTGCTACCTCACAAACTGGTGGAAAGGCATGCAGGGGCTCAGATACAGACCTGCCCTTCCAAAGGAAGGCTTGCTGTGCAAGCCACGCTGTCAGTTTCCTGGATCAGTGCTTTTAAGCAGATCTAACAGTCCAAAATAACTTTACTCAAATTTACTGTAGCCCCATGGAAGGATTACTGATGCTATTCCATTACTTAGCACAAAGCAGTGGTCTCCAGGGGACTGTTTAGTAGCATATTCTTGTCTGGATATTAAATCAAGCTATGCCAACGACTTAAAAAACAGCAGGTAACAAGCTTTTTCCTGTTTTTCAGTGAGCTCTGTTGAATCTCATCTTTCATTTGTTTTGAACTGCAAGTCTCCTATGTGCATACAGAAAAATCTCCAACTTTCCCCCCTGCCAAAGTACATAGTGTGTGATTAACGCATACAGGAATGTTTTTGGCTGTGGCTACGCTGAGAAGCTCAGTGGATGGCAGTGCTGCTCCTTCATGGGAACAACTACGGGGCCTCTTTCTCCACACCTCCACATCAGCAATATCATGGAACCAGAGGGGCACAGGTGAAAGAACTTGAGAAAACACCAAGCTCAGTGGGACAGGTGAGTTTAGACATCAGAAATCGGAAGTTTGAAACAGCAGCTTAATCTGCTGTAACTAAGTTCCTACTATAGTAACACAAGTAGGGCAAGTATATTAATAAAAAACCCACAATTTATCTGTACATGAATTACTATGAGCATGGTTTCTTTACTGACATATAATGGATGTTACAGAAGGCAGGACATACTCCTGGGGAACAAGGGCCAACTTGGTCACTCTTCTTGAGAAGGTGGTTGGACCAGATGACCTCCAGAGGTTTCTTACAACCTCAGCCATTCTGTGATTCTGTAAAACCATTTTTTTCCTTCTACTTATTTATGTATAAAAAAGCTTAACACCTGCAGCACCCTGCGTGAAATAATATTAATGACATTTTCTGAATTCAGAGTAGAAGAGGTTGCGCTTGGTTTGCCTAAATGAAACAAAATGTTTTACATGACAAACAGAATCATGTATGTTAGCCTGATGTTTGGTACCAGTATCTATTACCCCTTCCTCAAAATACTATTCCAAAGTTGACAGTTTAACACTGGTCACCAGCAGCACTAGCAAAAGTCTCACATCTTTCCCACACTGAAGAGTTTATTTTCCTGCAGCCAGCCAGAATGCAATTTATTCAGCTACATGGATTCATTCTTGCACTATTTTCCTTATTATATTGTCTCATCTGTGAAAAGAGCTTTCCTTGATTACTGTCAACATTTCATTTCATTGCGTTATCTTATTTGTCTTTTGATGCTATAGTTTCCTTACTTTACAATGTTTTAACTACACTGGCTGCAACTGTTAAAAGAATAACTGTAATCTTGAGGATCAACTAGAAAGGATTTAAAAGGGTTTAAGTAATTCATTTTACTGATGTTACAATAACTTATTTTTATTTGATTATGTAAATGAGTGTTGGTGCATATCTACTTGGCAAAATACTGGAAAGTTTAATTTTCTCTCCTGAACAAAGAGCTCTCAGTGTTAGCAACACATGAGCTAAGGAAAGTATCTTATGCAAAGACAGGGATCTCTCATGACACATCCCAAAATTACATGTATATTCAGGAAAACAAAAGCCATGCTTACCTGACAAAATTTACCACGATACATTCCCTGAGCTAATGTTCAGGATACAACAGAGATGGTCACAGACCTGTGGACCTACTTTCTCCCATCCTCAATCCCTGTCCAGCACCTACTCCAATAGGGTGCTTCCCAAAGGGCTTGTGAACGCCTTTCACTAGAAATAGGGGAAATGATACACAGTTTCAGAGACCTTAAGGGAGCTACAACTACAGTTACCAGTAACACCAAGCCGCAAGTCACTATGATTTCTGTTCCAATTTCGCCTACAAACTGTATGACTCATACTGCCACTGCATTTTATATGACGGTCCTCAATGCACAGACTGCTTTTAAAGTCTTCCCCTCTCTCCACCCTACATTTATTTACATCTTTACACAGATAAGAAATAGATTCATTTCCTCCGAGAAAGAAAGAAGAGAGGTCTTTGGTTTTACTTCATTAGGAAGGTGGATTAGGGCCAAGGAAAAAGACCAAAAGTCTAAAAGGATTTTAATGAGGCTGAATGTGAATAGGGTGAAAGAAGTCAGGAGACAGAAGGCAGGAGACAGAGAGATCCTCCAAGCCAATGAGTTGAGAGGGGAACAGCTGAGGACCTCATGCAGTGCTCCACAGCTGGAAACCAGAGACAGTTTTGAGCTGAGGAGACTGGTGTCTGCCAACCCAAACCAGCAAATTATAAATGACCGAGGAAGACTGCTGGAGTCTTCTCACATAAGGAAGAATGCCTGGTTCTTGTCAGAAAGAAAAGGTAAGAGTAACAACATAAGAACATTAGTAATACTGGACAGCAGCTGGACACCGCTTACAAGTAACTTGGGTTTGCCTGTATATCCCTCTATGCTGACTGCTTGAATAGCAAATCTTTCATGGAAAAATTTTCTCATGAGATTTGCCCAAGAGACAGTTACTCTAGTAACTTACTTCTCAATACAAACGCAAATGAAAAGTGGGTCCCAAGCAGAAAAGAGAACTTAATCTTCCTTCTGCAGAAAATTCATTAAAAAAAAGTCTCCCAGTGCTGTGATTGCTCTGTTAATTCACCTAAATACCAAGGACAATCCTGCCAGTATTTGAATGTGGGCTATTTCAGTACTGCAATTCTCAGAAAACCACATTAAACACTAATGCTCCTATATCTAGTAGCAATTCTTGAATTTACTGCAGACTGCTCTAATGCAGGCATTTGTCATTGTTCAAATAAACACACTGTAATAATTATTCAGTTGTTCATCTGTTAATGTTTTACAGTTGGCCATGCATAGAAAGAAAAATAAACAAAAACATATGAGTTAAGTGATAATTCAGCTGCAGTCACATAAAGCTACGCTGTTTAAAAATGTCCTGGTATTCTGAAGAACCAAGCTGGAAATAGTCAGCTTCCATTTAAATCACAGTCCAAAATTTCTTATCATATCAATGATCTTAATCTCTTGGCATTGTATACATGCATGAAAAAAATACAAATAGCCAGTTTACTATTTTACAACTTTTATTTGCTGAAATCTCTACTCTATTCAAATTAATTCTTCTGCCAAAGACTTCAGTGTACCCAGGACTTAATTGAGTTGAGCATAAATGATATACCCACTATGATCTTTCCTCAACAGAAATGTAAAATTAAGACTTATTCATAGTTCTATCAAAGTGACAGTCTGTTTTTTAAGTAACATTTAGGATTTCTTCTATATAACACTCCTTATATATTTACGTGGCATGAATACAAAGAAAGAGAAGAGAAGCTCAAATGGACAGTTTCCAGTATTGGCAAGAGCACTATAAACTCATGGGTTGCTATCCAAGCACTTATTTACCAGACTAAAATGACCTCCATAATGTGCTCTCTTTCACAAAAGTGACACACAAGTCAAAGACTGAAAGTTAATTCTGTTTGGAAGAATTCTACTACTGAACAATATTTTTCTTTTAAATTGCCGTATTTTTCCCTAAAGGAGGAAGAAGTTGGTAAATGAATGTTGAATCTATGAAATTTTTAGTAATATTTCATTTCCCTAAGCACTAAAGAGCAATGTCAATGCTATTGCACTGGGTCTGTACTGAGCTGATGATCTGCAGAATTAGATCCCAACCCACAGTACAGACATGATTACTGGTCTCTAGTTGTTTTGAGCTCTCAAATAGAGTACTGCTAAATTTTTTGAGCCTCAAAAATAACCTGTAGTAAACTAAACTTCATCTGCAATGTGAGGTCTCTTTAACAACCTCACATATCTAGACAGATACAAATCCCTAACTTAACAAATGAAGAACTGAGTCTCACAGTGCAAGGTCAAACAGTGCTCCAGCTATTAAATTAATATTGTAAAGGCATGGTCATAGTGTTCCTTTGAACCTGATTTTATATTCTACAGAAATATACTACCTATGGCTTTTAGGAAATCTGATAATCAAACATGAACAATCAAATAAAACATGTTCAGTAACAGCTTTATGTATTTTAGATTACTTTCCTATAGAGATTTGAGATTTTCCTGCTACACTGACAATTATATCTACTTTATGGAATTATTACACATCAACAAAACTCTGCATATCATTTTACATGCTCCTTATGATTTATGATTCACTAATAGGAGAGCATATCAGTATGCTTCCAAAACAACAGAAATCCCATGTCAAGATTTTTGGACACTGTAAATGATTTGCTTTATACACCAGACTTCTGTTTATCAGGACTCAGAAAAGAGTCTTATTTCACTTAGGTGTATCTTTCATTAAATCTTCCTGCCTACATAAATCTAGGTATTTATTCAAGGACATACGATAAATTTCCCAGTTTTCATCATCATTGTAGTTTTTCTTAAGCTTCTATCTGTAAGTTATTAATAATTAAACCCAAAGAGAAAACAAGATTAGAAAAATATAAGTAGGCAGGAGAGCTTTCTTGCTATGCAAGAAACAAAAAGAGTGTGTAACGAAAGAGCCATATTCAGCCAGCCATATGCTTTCAACCATATCTTGCCGTAAAACTGTTAAAATACACTCAGAACCAAACGTATTTTTACATAACCAGGCACTTGGCTTGCACAAATAGGTATACCCACTGGCTGCACACAAAGCAACATACCTGCAGAGACTCGGGGGCAGTCGGGCAGCATGGACTCCACAGACGTGTCCAGTGGCTCAGAGCTGGACACCCAGTTACAACAGTTCTGCATCAGAAGATGTGCAATTGGTAAGCCAAAAACTCAGAGTAAGAATATACACAGGCTGTGTAATGGTCACATCAAAATATATACAGCAATCTCAACAGGGACTGGAAGGTAAACTACACTAGCTTGGTGATGTCCAAGCTATAATAACCAAGTGATATCTAAATATTCTGATATCATCCTTAATATGTAAAATGAGGAAGAACTCAGCAGATTTGTAGCGTGCTGTCTTTAAGTACTACTTTGAGTGCCAGTGGACTTCAGCAGGTCCTTGGACCACGGGAGCACGAACTAGACACTGCACATTTTAAGCCATTCCCCTCTGTAACCGTTGCACAGGCACTTATATAAACATTGAAGTGAAGTAACAAGAAGTCAGAATTCTAAGGGAGTTTTGATGGAGTGTGTTGTACTGAGAAGGCTGTGAGATTACAACACAAAAAATTACAACTGAGTGGAAGCCATTGAGACAGCAGTACAAATAATTGAAAATATAACTGAGATGAATTGGCATGAACATTTAAAAATGTAAATACTGATCTTTGGGGAACTAGGTTGATGAAGCATTATTAGTTACTTCTACTCCTGAATCCATAAGTAGGATGAATTTACAAGTAAGTTTTTAAATGTTTTGTTCCAAATAGTATCTCTTCAGAAGAGTCGTACGCTGAAACTACGACCAATATATTAAACTGAAGACTTAATTATAAAATAACTACATTTTTAATAGGATTGCCAGATGAAATAGAAGATCTACATGGCTTCCCTTATTACAAATCTGAGTTTTGCCTTCCTCAGAAAGTGATTAACTTCATCAAAGAAAAAAAGAACATTTTTCTGGGAAAGACCCAATGAATTTTCAGACAGATTTCTAAAAAATCATCCTATCAATCATGACTGTAAAAATGGATGATGGCTATTCCAGTAAACAAGCATGTATTGTGTATTTGTAGATGCTTGCTGCCCTAGTTGTGCACCATGGAGTCTGTCCTCACTGTGGAAAGATCCTTGACTGGTAGATCAAGTGTCTTATTGTATTTCCTTAATTCATTCTGTCTGGAAGAAGATGTCAGCTGTGTTGCAGTGAGGAGAGGATTTCAAAGGCTTCAGTCCCCACCAATAAAGGCCGAGGAATAGCTTTTGAATAGATTTGTCAAGGCAACCCTACTGTTCTGGGACCAGGGAGAGCAGGAACAACATAAAGGAAGGGTTGCTGTATGAGATTAGAAAGTGAAGTTCACAAAGCACGGCAGATTTTTGTAAGAAACAGTAGATCAATGAAACTATTGAACTCGATGGACAAAAAAAATAAAAACAAACACACTACCCAGGAATGTAACTTTTTAGTAAAAAATGTTTAAAATGGAATATTTCACAAAAGCTTTAGGGTTTAAAGTAGTAAAGTATTGCACATTTTACAATTTGCATATATAATTTTAATTAACAGCTGAATGTGAAATTGCAAATGTAAGATGGTAAAAATTAAAAGAAGTAGAATTTTTATGAAGTATTACATTCATTTGAAATAAGTAAAATTAATATTAACTACCAATAGAAGACTACATCAGAGTGCTGGAGATAATACAGAAGATTAGCACACAATTAACCAGCTTTTATATACAGTGTGACACTTGCCTGTAAGAAATAAGTATTCTCGAAAGCAGTGTCAAGATATGTAAATGGATGATTTGTTTTATCATTCAACACAGCTCCTAATAAATTCAAAAAATCATGACTTCTATAGGTACTAAAAATAGGCCACCAATGATACAGGAGAGATAGCTCGATGAAGAATTACTTTTTTAACAATTCATTCTTTCAATGACAGCAATTAGCCCTACAGACAGGCAGCGATTAGGTGTATATTTTAATTATTATTCATTTTACCAGTAGCCTTAAACCTGATTAAAGTAAGAGATATCCAGGTGATGTGCCAGTCTTAATACCACTCAGCCACACTTCACATATGTAAAGTTCTTCTTTCCTATTGGAGATTTTCAATGCTAATGTAAGTTATGACACTCCATCCACTTTTTAGGCCATTAATCATTTAACTTATTCTTTAAGATCTACATTCTGCAAATGAAATTAAAGGTAATGCACTTGTCTTACTCAGACTAAATGCTTAAAGAAAAATGGAGTTGTCAGATTCAAATTACAGGATTTAAAATTTCAGTTTTACTACATAACATATATTTTAAGGTTTTGATTTCCCATAAAGAAAATGGGGATTTTTCTGACAGAGCCTGTAGGGGTTACCATTCTTCATATTTTTAACATTTAAGTCAGAGCTGTCAGACTATATCCCAGGTGATTCTCTACTCCCATCAGTCATGGCCTATGAAGTGGTAAGGTTAAGTCCAGAGTAGGCAGTCTAGAGTAGGCAGTCTACAAACAACGTTTTACTAAAACCCACAAGAAAAAAGTCAAGACTAACAAAAAATTCAGTATAGCTTCTATTTGCCACACACACCTACTGTTTTACCACTCTGAAATGAATGTAGAAAACATGGGCTCAAGCTCGATTTGGAAAGAAACTCAGAAATTGTTAGTCTCACTTAAAAAAATACTTAAATCACAACAATCCCATACTTAAGTATTAAAATGAATAATGAATGCAAGAGTTATACTTCACCAAAGGGTGCAAAATTGTGCTTGCTGGCCATAAATCACCACTGGATCATCTTGGACTAACCAGTGGTTTCCCTGCTACAGTAGTAAACACTCTGACTTCTCATCAGAACATCCCAGAGCACTTTAGAAGTAATCATGTCTTATAAAAGCAAGATTTTTTAGCCAGCCGTATAAATCAGCAAGCTGAATCACAAAAAACATGAAGGGGCTTTTCTACCACCATCATGTCAGGCCAGGAGCAGAACTCTGGTGTTCTGGTTGCTCTCAGAACTTCGCACCAGTTACCAAACTGCACTTGGGCTACAACAGTGCATGCTTCCACACTGCACACTGGAGCCAAACCTTATTATTTTGACTGCTAGCTTCAAAGCTCAGAAACTGCTTTCATCTCAGTTATTTTAGGGGCTGGTATGGGGACATGATTCCCATGGTTTTGAAACATGCTCTTTTTCACAGCCTAAAGAAATGGAAGAGGTTAGTAGATAAAGAAATGTTTATAGAACCATACAAAGGTGTATATGCCCCAACCCTTTGAAAAAAAGTCCTCACCTCTCGCATCCACTCTCGAATAGTTTTGCCAGCTTCTTGATGCCACACATTGTGAACAGAGTCTGTCAACGCCACAGCAGTTACCTTATTCTTTACTTCTGCCTCTCGCTGAATCATCTGTTAAAAAATACTGGCTTTAAGTTCTTTATTTCTATTGAGCACTGTCTGCTTTGCGACAGATAATGGCCTTAAATTAAAAAAGGAAGAGTAATGCAATTTCAATACTTGACTTCACTTGTTTCAAAGTTTATACAAATCCTAACAGCTCTAGAAACACAGAAAGACCTAATATTTTTGATAAAAGAAATAATACTAACTTTTAACTGACTGAACTATTCAGTCCTATTATTTTCCATGTGGCTTGACAATTCTAGGATTAAAGGTATCATAGTGAAAAAATGTAAGATTCCCTGAGGACATCTTTTACAAGCTTCTCCAAGTTCCTATTTCTGTGCTTCAGGGAAGCTGGTACCTGTGGTTCACTGTAAGCTACTCAAGACTATAATCTACTAATTTTCAGTAGATTGCTGTAGTTTTTCAGATGTACAATCTTACTTTGACTTGTGTTTTTTCTTTTTCTGCCCAATTTAGCTACCTCGCACTCCCACCATGGCCCCCAAATTCTTTGTGCTCTCTCTCATACATATGCTTACCAGGCTAACAACAGAGCCTCTTAACATTTGTAACATATTAAAAGTCTCTGTTGCTGGAAATGACAGTATGACTAAATAATATTAGTACTAAAACCAATTAAATGATTGCTGCAAATAACATGACCAAATGACAAAGATGCTGTGGAATTCAGCACTGCTCTGCAAGATAAAAGGGACTGAAAAAGAATAGTTTGATATCAAAGAGAGACAAAAAGGTTTTAATCTCCTGACACAAGTGACCCTAATTTGTAACACTGGAACAAAGTAAGTATAATGAATTATACTTAAAAAAACCCAGCATTTCACAGCTAGTGTCTTTATCACTGGGTATACCACACTAAAGTTAATGTTTTTTTGGCATCCTTTTGTATTAATGGCAACACATACAACATTTCTAAAGCCAGACTTTCTTTGTTCATGCTCTAGTAACTGCTTATCAGTATACAGGCTGCACTTTCAAAAACAATGCTCCAGAAGGGATGCAAATGATATTTTTTTGCATCAGAAACTCAAAAATAATCACCTAAACCCAGACGTTCAATGTGAAAATAGCATTTATCAATATCTAGTACAGTCTCCCAATATCTTCAAAATACCACAAATGTAAACCTTTTTGAGGAAGCATTCTTCCAATTCTACACAACGGTAGTACAACATTATGAAAGCTTCTTGAATTTCTTTTTGTTCACATAATATCTTTTTAAAATTAACTGTAGTCAAGCTATTCTTAAGTGACAAGTATTCACCATTACTGGAAAAGAAATACAAACGTAGATCTCTGCACTCCAGATAAAATCAGATGTTTGCCTTGTCCAATGTTCTGTTTGTCTTGCCCAATGTTTCTGTTCTGTCAGCATTACATGATTCAGAAATTCAGCTAATCTTAGGAAATTCTGGGCAAGTACATACAGAGACACTCTTAAAAGTGATCATCCTGTGAAGACTGTCTGTATGTCCATTGTTTTTTTAGATACTCTCCCATGGGGCACATACAATATCTACAACATTTGGAGGATGAGACGTTCTCTACAGGTGTGTTTGCATGGGGAGCAAAATCACTGATTAAGGACAAAGTGGCATTTACTGTAAAAGGCTGGGCTTCATTCAGCAGTGAGACGGTACTGCTGTTTTCAGCCAAACATCAGATACTGAACACCGAATTTCACCATAAATACAAAGTTGTGCATAAATTCCTCCGCTATGAAATGCAAGAATTGTATGGAATAATAACTTCTCCAGAGCAGTCTTTCGGCAATTGGGTGATTCTGCTAAACTTGGGATGAGACTCTGAAGCTCCTCAAGAAGGTGGAACCTCAGAATGAAGATCTTTACCAACACTATAAATCACCTTCCTTGAGGCTGTACAAACATCTGAAGCGCAACTAAATGTTTTGTGTCTCACAGGCAGATCTGAAATCATCAACCAGACTATTTTGTCAAAACTTGGACTCACTGTATCTCATCTACAGTAATCTCACTAGGATTACACCAGGCCCCAGTTGTAGGTCAGATCTACAACATAACTGAAAAACCGTATTTTTTAATGCAATGTAGAAAGTACCGGGATCAGAAAAAAGAGGGAACGAAGGGATTAACTGAGCTTCAGTTACGCATGACATTATGTTCAGCCCAGAATAAGCAAGTTTTGGTAGATATCTATTCCCTTACGAACTGACCTTGAAAAAACAACAACAACAACAAAAAAACAAACCCAGAAAAAATAGATAGAGAAAGAATCAAGGATATAACATTCACTTAAACAAGACTAATGTGTCCATATTTAAGTGACACACAAATGTCACAACAGAGCATGTCAAACCTGGGTCACTTAGTTTCTACTGTAACAGCTCAAATTCTCTGCTATGGTGGGATATTAACTAATAATAACAACAAAGAATAGATCCAGGTGCCTCTCAAACAATAGATTCTCTTAGCAAGGACCCTAATTTATCCTGTGAGAAGACAAAAGAAGCTGAAGTGCTCACAGAAGCATCAGTGCTTCAGATTCTGTGGACTGATAGTTTTGAGTTAAAACATAGACATCTTCACTAAAAATAGCTTTTAATTCACATACAATTAAAAAATTGAGCTGAATAGAATTATTACAGTAAAATACACTGACACGCATTGCAAAATTAGCAGCCAGCTGTATTCAGATTTGGTACAATTCTGTAATTCAAAAGGAAGGATGCTAAGGGGTGCATGATTTACACCTCCCAGGATTAGCTTTATTCCATGCGGCCAGTGCAGTCTTACAACAGATATACTAAAATCAAAGACAATTTAACAGAACACAGACTATTTACAATATAACAAACTGTACTTTTTTTTTTTTTTTTTTTTTTTTTTAAACTGAAGCAGCAACTGCAGATAAAGACCTAGGGAATTAATCTGAAGTTTATTTTATACTTTACACTCTTTATACATCAGTAGGTTCCACATAAACCCAATTCTCATAGCCTGAGAATAACTTAATTTTTTCCTCAATTCCAGTTTTTAAATCTCAACTTATTGCTATCAGAACACTGAGAGATTTTGCAGGAAGTAACCTCCCAATGTACCCCTTCATGGGATGGCGTCCAGTTCCTACTCTGTCCTAACATTCCTTCTTCTTTGAAAAATTCATTCATAACCAAGAGCAGTTAAACAGACACTTCTGTGTCAGGTTCTCCTTTGACTGCACCCCTCTAGGACTTTCTCGAACACGTTTTCTAACAAGAAATTTCTACTTAGTCTCTGTCTATTTTGTAGTCACTGTACAGTTTGTTTTGCAATTTTTTTATTGCATCATCACTGCACATTTATTCTCTTGCACTAGGCATATTCCTAGAGCAGTATTCACTGTAAGGATTTAGGAAGCATTCAGGATCTCTGAAAGTTGTCTATGTACTACTGGGTGAAAACTTATTCCTTTTTCTTTGCAAGGCACAAGTGTTACACAAGTGTTCAACTGAACCACTTCCATGAGCACAAACTGAAGTCCTTTAAAGCTTAAAACTTTCACTAAGTTCAGATATATTACTGACATGCTTAGTGGTCAATTTAGTAAGTTATTTACTTCTAGGTTGTTCATAATGATGGATGGCTGCCTTCTGTAAGGTAATATTATACAATTACCACAACTTTGTAATGAAAAAAAATTGGTACCTTCATAATCTATTGTGTGTGCGTATAAAACATTGTCTCTTATCACATAGGTAATACATTAACTGTACACACAGATATTTAGAATAGATGATGAGATGTAACTTTGGCATGCAGTATGCTTTGCAGCACAGCACTCAAACGTGAGCATCAACATGTTAAAAGGAGAATCGAAAGCCTTATACTGTAAACATGAAAATCCATGCATGTTCCAGCTAGAGATTAAAACTTCTTCAGTGGTAGACAGGTAAAAAAATACCTTCTGTACTTACATGGGTCCAATCAAACCAACTGCCACTACTTAGTATTTATGAGATACTAACACTTTTGAGTCACCTGTAATCGGGAATTAGGAAAAATTGATAAATATTTTAAAAATGCCCACAAGTCACTTTCTCTTGATCTTTTAAGAAAACCTTTCATCTACTTCCCTTGCCTTCCACTGCAATTTCAGTTGTGGTATGATATTTATATGGTGCGTACTGGGTTTGAATGGGTATGTCTATAACAAGAATTTGGCTTGGAGCAAAACTAAATTTGACACAAATACTTCCATTGTCTCCAGTTGCCTCATACTTGTTTGAGTTTTAAGAGGCTTTGGCATGTGCTAACTGAATTCCTTTCAGAGGAAACTGAACTGGAAGCCTCTGTCCAAATGCACTGAATGATTTCCAGACGTGCAGAAGAAATTCTGCTGGGTCACAATGGCATCAGTTGGACTATGTAAAATATGTAACAGCAGTGGTAGATAGGAAGAGAGAACAAATCACCCACAAGGAGTGGTGTGTGAGTGAGAAAATTTTATTTAACACTTTTGAAAGGATATGCAGATTCCTAAGAACCTTGCATGCTCTCTAGGGAATTTAATGCAGGACTACCCTTTCAAGATCCTCTTCAACTCTCCTTTCACTCAGTGCTATACAAACCAAGTAACAGATCTGTGTCAGGATGCACCCTTCCTGAACTCAGAAAGATTACTCTTCACCAAGAAGCATGTAATTCTTTTATCTGTAGAGCAATTTTGTTAGTCTGTGATTCTCAGACTTTTCATTGCTTCCTGGATGCAATTCCTGAAATTTTTAAATACTCAGTTTTTTTGGCACATCCCCAATTTTTCATAAAGTATCATTTGTTAGGAACTAGAATTCCAGAGCAATTACACTAGAACAGCATATAACAAGCATCACACATAATCCAAAGTAAGTTAAACTAGTTCCCATTATCAATAAGCACTGAGAATGATTTTCTCTTAATTTACTCACAGATGTCCTTAATACCTGCTTGCAGTAGACAAAGCATTTGATTCCTCAGTTTTCAAAG